GGTGGGAGTGTCTGTAAGGTGGAGTCCTTCACGGTGGGAGTGTCTGTAAGGTGGAGTCCTTCACGGTGGGAGTGTCTGTAAGGTGGAGTCCTTCACGGTATGAGTATCAGTAAGGTGGCGTCTTTCACGGTGTGATTCTCTGGATGCCACCTCCAAAGTTTGCTTTGGATTTCATTCATACATCATTTCTTAATCAGAACATATTCAACAATTATCAATCCATTAAAGTAGTTATAAAGTTGTTTATTTTCCTTTTTGTGGTCTCTGTATGGAAGTGTTAAGTGTCCAAATCCTCACGCAGGCATTTAAATCCATTAACTCTCCATCATCATTTATATTTGATTACAATAGCAATTCAGTTCTATATACCCTTTTACGACTGAGACAAAATACTTATAATGTTGACCTAAGTACTTATGTTAAACAAAAATGCATTAAATTAATATGAATATATATTTTTGGATTTCCTTTTTTTGGAGTAGTAGCATGTAGCTCAGTGGGCTAAGCCTGTGTGCTTGTAATCCCAAGGTTGCTGGTTCAAACCCAGCCTTAGCACATCTGTGGCTCCTTGAGGAAGGCCCTTAATCCGGGGCACTGCTATGGGTGGCTGCTCTTCACAGACAGCTTGCTTCCAGAAAGCAAGTTGTTGGCGGTGTAAAGACAATTTCCCCGTAGGGATTAATGAAGTGATGATGATTATTGACATTTAATTAAACTTAATTTCTTGACTGTGCAAACACAATGTGCACTTCTGGAACATTCTTTGAAACTGATTTTCTTTTACTCACACAGGATGGCGCGAAATGCCAACCGAGATGGTGGAGGAGATGACACCAGCTTTAACTTCAGTTGGAAGATGTTCACCAGTTGGGATTACCTCATTGGCAACCCAGAAACAGCTGACAACAAGTTTGCATCTATCACCACAAACTTTAAGGTCAAGTAACCACCACATACTGTAAGGTCAAGTAAGAATTGAATATTGGCAAGTCAAGTAACATTGACTTGAGTCTTATGTAAAAATTAGATGTCTTCTTTTGAGGTAAGCAGAGTCAGTGCTCAGATTTTGGAGTGATTAATTTACTTATAAACTGCTCTTTTACGGTGTATCAATCTCTTGGTGTCTCTTCCAAATATGCGTTTGCTTGATGGAAAGTGAATTGTAACAGACCACTTGCAAACACTCTCCCTCCACAGGAGTCTATTGTTGAGGAGCAGGAGAGTCAGAAGGATGACAATATTCATCTGACCCGCTTCCTCCGTGTTCTGGCAAACTTCCTCGTGCTCTGCTGTCTGGCAGGAAGTGGCTATCTCATCTACTTTGTGGTCAGAAGGTCCCAGAAGTTTGCTCTGGATGGTCTGGAGAACCACAGCTGGTGGGAAAGGAATGAAGTGAGTTGCATCTTGAATTTGTTCCAGGGAATTGTCACAAAATGCCTACTTTCTTGGTTTATTTCTGAGTGCGACCCATCTGAACAGGGTTAGTGGAGAATTGACTGTACTTGGGCTAATGTATGTGCATGTACTGTATCTCTAAGGAGAACAATTCAGTGTCTGTGTGAAATGTGCCTCTGTTATCGCCCAGGTCAACATGGTGATGTCGCTGCTTGGTATGTTCTGCCCAATGATGTTTGATGTGATTAGTTCCCTGGAGAACTACCACCCCCGCATTGCCCTCCAGTGGCAACTGGGCCGAATCTTTGCCCTTTTCCTGGGGAACCTCTACACCTTCATCATTGCACTCATGGATGAGATCAACCGCAAAGTAAAGCACAGGAATCCTTGACAGACCTTTTAATTAAATATCAAGACAACTCAAGTCAAAGCAGGAGTTTTATTTACCACGTGCACTACGTGGGTTATGCAGTGAAATACAACTATATGAGCAGACAATACTGTGTAATTAAAAATTACAAAGGGTAAATTTCAAATAAAAAATATGTATATACATATGCACATAAACTTCTGGTACAAAAAATATGAAATGGAAAGATATACAATATAAATATATTTAAATGTATAAGAGCATAAGGCATACAGCACAAACAGCATGCATGCATTATGGAATATACCGTATACTACAAGTACAAAAAGTTTATAGAGTATGATTCCGTAAGTACACAAGATGTATATCTGTACTAAGGCACTAGTGTTATAAGAAATTCTTAGAGTGAATTTTAATTATACGATGTGCAAGAAACCAGTTCAAGTGCAGACAGGTTGTATTTCTATGCATACTTATGTAACCCCTGCAAATTCCTCTTGGGGACCCTTCTGTAGAGATCAGAGGAAGACGCAGTGAAGTTGAATATGACCGCATGGGAGGCCGGTCTGTACAATGGCACTTCTGTTGGTAATGCTTCAGGTCCTGTACCTGTGCATCCAGCGGATGTCCCCAGAGGACCCTGCTGGGAGACCATGGTGGGCCAGGTACTGCGGTAATGTCCTGCCAATACCAATTACCCCAGAGGGCTTCCAAGATAAAACACCTTTAAATAAAGCCTGTATAAAGGTTCACCATAATAATATATCACATTGCCGTCACCAAGCTTCAATTAAGCAAAGAAATGTAATGAGTTTTCTTGGTGTGTTGCTCTTCGACCTGCTGCACAAGGAGACACACAAATTGGTCTTTGTGCCAATGCAGGAATTTGGTTTTTATTAAAATGATCAAGCAGAAATTATTGTTTTGTGTTTTTTGCGTACATAGGAATTTGTTCGACTCATTATATCGGACACCATGACCACGTATATCACTCTGCTGATTGGTGATTTCCTGCGCGCCCTGTTCGTTAGATTCTTTAACTACTGCTGGTGCTGGGACCTGGAGTATGGCTTTGTAAGTATGGCAGTATAGTTCAATCACCTTGGTGATTTCAAGTATTTGGCATACAAATATAGGTGGCAATGCAGATTTGCAGAATGCTCTAATTTATTCATCCTTATTGTTTTTACTATATGAAAGCCATCATACTCTGAATTTGATGTGAGTGGAAATGTCCTGGGCCTGATATTCAATCAGGGAATGATATGGTAAATATTTTTATTTGTTATTAAAATTGCTCTTTAGCTGGGAATTATTTTCTAAATGAGCGAAACATTTTCTATAATGTAAGCTGCCGTTTTCATTAGCTGTGTAAAGCACCCTAATATGTTAATCTGTGCCACCCTTCAGTATGCTGCTATGACGTCATCCTCCTTGGTCAGTCGCTATAGGCACATGGCTGAGTTCTGTCGTGTTCTGTTTTTGTGTCTGTGTGGAAGGATGGGTGCGTTCTATGCCCCCTGCCTGCCGGCGCTCAACGTGCTGCGTCTGCACGTCTCCATGTACCTGCAGTGCTGGGCCGTCATGTGCTGCAACGTCCCCCAGGAGCGAGTCTTCAAGGCCTCTGGCTCCAACAACTTCTACATGGCCATGCTTCTGGTCATCCTCTTTCTGTCCACCCTGCCGGCCATATACACCATCGTCACCATCCCTCCGTCCTTCGATTGTGGGCCTTTCAGGTCAAATCCATCTTTACGCAGACTGATCTTACATCTTACTGGCCATAGCACATGTCTACTAATTGTCCCATATCATTCAAGTGCATCATCCCCCATCATCTTAGTATATGTGTCTACCACTGCTTACACTCTTTAATTAAATACTAGCCTTCAGGGGTTCAGTAAAGGGGGGAGTTAGGACAATTCCAAGGGCCCCTGAGTGACAACAATTTGGAGCATAATTGAATTAGTCTGGGTTGGGGGGCAACATCTCTAGCGGTACCCCTGCTACCCTACATAAACATTATTTAAAGATTCATTATTATTATTATTATTATTATTCATATTATTATTATTATTATTATTATTAAAGAAATTGCTTCATAAATGGTCAGCTCATATTATTGCACAAAAGGTGAAATCTCTGCATAAATTCATAACGTCTACCGGCCTTCCGTTTCAGTGGTAAGAACCGCATGTTCGATGTGATTCAGGAAACCCTGGAGACCGATTTCCCTGCCTGGTTCGGAAAAGTGTTCAGCTATGCCTCCAATCCAGGGCTCGTCCTCCCATTCATACTGGTCATGATGTAAGTAAGCAGGTCACAGAGGGACTGTGTTTCATACATACCGGGAAGTCTGAACTGTAAAAAGACCACATGAGATACAATCAGGTAGTAACATCATTATGGTATTTGTAGTAAATTTTTATATTTGTCTGTGTTTATTATGTACACTAATGGAAAAGCTACGGGAAAAAAAATGCTGTTTCCTGTTTTTTTTTATTGTTCCAGTCTAGCCATCTATTATTTGCAGTCTACGTCCAAAACGTATAAGGTTGCCAACCTAGACTTAAAGAAGAAACTGCAAACTGTAAGTCTGATCGCTGCACTGAATTTCGAAATAATTATAAAGGTGTTTATATGCGAATGACATAGCGTGAAATGTAAGGAAACACAAAACTTTCAATAATACAGTATGCATCACTGTATTTCAGTAGATGGCAGTACAAAAACATTATTCCATGGTTGGTATGGAAACGTTTTCTTTTTGTGGGATTACTGTTAGATCACAATAAACACTAGATCAGGTCATTCTTACTCGTAGGTCTTTCCTCAGGGGGATCCTTGGTAATATTGCCCCAATGTCACGGTATGATTACAGCAAAGGCAGTAAGTGTACAGCTTGATGCATGTGCTCTATGTGCTTCTCATAATACTGTTTCATGAGGGCAGTGCATGGATACATCCCTCTGTTTTGAATAAGCAAAATGAGGAGAATAAGAAGAAGAACAAGAAAGCAGCCCTGAAGGCAGCAGCTGAGCTAGAGGAGGCGAAAAATGCTGCCACCTGCAGGCAGGAGACTGAATGCGGCGAGTCTGGGCAGGACAGAGACATCACCACTTCCAGGCAGGACAGAGACATCACCACTTCCAGGCAGGACAGAGATGCCCCGTCACAGCAGCTCAGCCGGGGTAAGGCCTCTGTAAATCCTCTCTTTCCTGGGTTATATACGGAAATGCACCTAACTGGTAAGCAAATACGCATTCCCCATATAAAGCGACGTGCGCAGCAATTTCTTGTTGTAGTAAAGCAAATGCATATTTTATGTGCATTTGCGCTGTTATGACATATATTGTCCGTGAATTGAAGGCTTTACATGGCTAATGTGTACTTCATTCGCGGTATAACGGTCACAATGCATGGTAATTTCTTGTCATAACTGCACAATGCACATAAAATAAATACATTTGCGCTGCTACGACAAGAAATTGCAACACGTTGCTTTATATGGCGAATGCGTACTAGCGTACCGGCTACGTGCATCCGCGATTATACACCTCTACACTATTCTGCTGCTCAGTATCATCTGGATGATGCAGCTGGGTGTTGGAAAGGCATATCCCTGCAGCCAGGAACCGAATGGTCGAGGTGGAGGGGCAATGTCAAGCAGGAGGGGCAATGTGCGAGGGGCTCACAACTGTTATCATCTGATACCCTAACCTCATCCCTAAGCCTAACCATAAACCCCTCCTACCCCTCGTGATAAACCCCTCCTACTCGACATTAGCCCCTCCCACTCGACAACTGGCTCCCAGCTGCAGCGATATATATTTGAGGTGTTTGTGGAAACATGGCTCTTTTTCAGCCTTGCATAAGGACTTGAGAAGAATCTCCTGCTGCTTCTCGCCATGTCACAGGGGAAAGCAGGGAAGGAAGGAGGGAAAGCAAACAGACCTACCAGCATCCCAATAGCCAGTTTTACCCGCTACATGGCAGAGATACACGACAGTCCAGACTCGCTCCCCCTGGTGGATTGGTGAGCAGGCCTCCACCACCTCGGGGCACAGAAATGGGCGGGTATTTACCTGGCAACCCACGACCGCCAGGACCCGGGTCCCAGAGGAGCCTTAACTTTCACTAAGAAAGACTCAGTCACTGACGGAGAGCGGCATGCTGGCCAGCACATGCTGCGGTGTCTGTTGTTCTTGGGCTTCTATTCCTTTACGTTAAATTTTAAAGGTTAGGATGTATAATTCAGGCATTCATTTTGGGCATTATGTTTGACCTTTTAGAGGTAACGCATGCTTGTTTAAATTATTAAATTAATTGCCTTCTATGAAGGTTTTCTTCTACACAAAATTAAGGCAATATTGAGGCTTTTCAAAAAAAAATTAACCATCTGTTGAAGATATGAGCTGCCTTTAAGAAGTACATTAGAAGCATATAGTTGTTATTAAATGATTGTACTACAAATAGGTAGAACGACCCAGCCAAGCTGTGAGGACTTTAAAAGGAGGTGCTGTTATTATGAGGGGACATTGACTTCTGTGCTGCCTATTGTCCTTTACTTGATATATGTTGTTAAAGATCAGAGTTGGGTAATTCAGGTCCAGAGAGTGAAAGTCCAAACCAAGATTTTGTTTCAACCAACCAGTTGAGCATAAAGAGTCACAGTCACAGAGTACTCAACTGGTTGGTTGAAACAAAATCCCGGTTTGGATTTTTATTCTCTGGACCTCAATTACCCAACTCTGTTAAAGATATTGTGACAATATCTGCTTTAGTTATATATTTTTATTTGCCGTTATATGCTGTTTAAGATGTTTCAGTCCCCCTCTGTGACCCTGTACTGTATAAGTGGCTGGAAGATGGATCAATGGACGTTCCGTACACCCATGATTCCTGGACACAACAAATGAACATCTGAGAAACTGGTTCCGTTGTTTATCTATACTTTTCCTTTTAAATAAAAATGTTTCCTTGTTCTCAAGACCTCTGTATGGCGCCAAGAACTCGAGCTGATTTTTGTAAAACCCTTTTTTGTAAAACTCTTTTTCTTTGCCGAATTAAATAAGAGTTAATAGATTAAACATTCATACAGTATGCAAGTAGAATATGTGTTCTATCTTGACAAAGTAGTGTTATTGACACAAGAGTGATTTAAATAGGTTATCTGGGGTGCCTTATCAAAATGCAATTTAATCTTTTGCGATCCAAATACAATGAGATCAGATTAAATTGTTCTGACTAAATCAAATCCTCCTCGCGACCAGAACTCCCTGTGACGGTATCATATTATCGCGGTGCACTCCTGAATCTATGCTGTTTGTTATGGGATCTGATATCTTGGCAGCATTGTCTGTTTTCAGAACTGGTTCGACATTGTTCGAGTTTGTCAGCTGTACCGCGGGTCAGAAGCGGTGAAACATTTCGCCGATATGCATACAGTTAACTGTACAAGTCCTGCACTGGTTCAGTGTAGTAACTAACCATCTTGGAGTAAATTTAGTGAACTAAGTGTTAAACTAAAATTGGCAGTTTCCCTGTCTGTCCGCATTGTCATGGGTGATCTTGCAGAAACTTAAAAAAAATTATCTTGCAGTATTTACTCAGTTAATTTAAAGGACAAATATAGCCAGGTGACACTATGACCTTTAATTGTTAATGTTGGCAAATAAGTTACATTAATATTTAAATGCTCATGAAAAGTTCATGTGCTGCAGTCATTAATCATTGAAAATTCTGAAAACTTAAGACAATATATGTCTTATTCAGGGACAAATAACCAACCAATAGCAATGCATTTGATTTATTTACTAAAAGGTATGCAAATAGGCATGTTACAATTAGTGTAGGAATTAAGGTTAAACTTTACATTTAACATTTGCGTATTTAGCAGACATTTTTGTCCAAAGTGATGCATAAGTGAGACAAATACTGTAACACATTGCAACATGCTGTCAAGAAGTCAACTAGGCATAAGTGCAGCAGGCTGAGCTTCCAATGAATGACACTTTATTAATGATACAATGTAGCATTTTACTGAGACATTCTTATTTATTTATATGCCACTGTGTGTAGGCTCAGTCCCCAGTAGGGTAGCTTCTTTCAACCTGTGTAAATAGGTTCTGATTTTTTAGGAGGATGAGAAATAAAATAACCTTGCTGAAACACCCCCCCAGATAGGGTCTAGAGCCACCTGTGCTGTAAATCTATCACAATTTTTTGTTTTCCGTCATCCCTCCATCTTATAGCTTCCTACACCAGTTCTTGCCATCCCAAGGCTGCAGTCAGTGACCTAAAAATCACTGGTTCAGTACATGTTAGAGGTTTTGTTACTTAACACACTGTATATTGAGCTGTCAAGCTGCAAATTCCAGTATTTTTTATCAAAGTTGTTCCAAAAACTTATTAGAAAGAGTTCAAATGCTTCAGCAGATTTGCCCCTGTAATGTTTACCAACACAGTGGTTTTTACCAGGTCATTTAATAATTTTTGTGTGGCTTACAGGTGTTTATCACAAACAGAATTAGCTGACTTTCTGTAATTCTAAGAAGCACAATTTACGGGAAAAGCTTGACAGACTTGAAATGGTATAATGGAGTTGAATTTCTGAAGAACCCATTGTGAATGTTCATATAATTCCAGGAAGTGCAGCATAAGAATAATCGCAGTGTGCACTGGCTTCCTGTTTCTATGCATTATTCATCAGGCCAGCTCTTACAGATTGCTCTATCACTAAACATGTGTTTCTCAGCTTTACAAAACTGAAGGAAAAGTGACTGTAAATCATATGAAATCGGTGCAAATGTGTTCATGTCGTATTAGAGTATTAAATGTTTTTTTGGTAATGTAGTTCACTGGAAATTGATTTAATGGGTTGAGTAGTTTTCAAATGAAACATCAATCATTTAATGAATGCAATTTTAGTAGACATTTTTGTAGTCCCTATTGTCATGTGTGCTGTTCCTCATCACCCTTAATATGTTTTTGCATTTATGTAATGAACTTTGAGTTGAAAAATGAACTTGATTTTCTTTAGTGTTACTATTTTATAATTGTGCGTTTATTTCTATCAGCCATTGTCTGTTATCTGTGATAGTATTAATTTCAAAATAATGCTTTGGGAAATGTTACTTTTCACAGTGAACTTTTACTTTTCTGGTTGGCACATGTTTTTTTTATTATTTGTGTAGTTACAACTGATTTCTGTACTGCACATTCAGGTGTTTTATATTTGGTTGTACGCTCTCTTTAATGTGCAGTATCATTAGCTGTTGTCATGGAGACTGCCGGTCAGTAGCTACGCAGGTACTCACTTGCACAGGCAGCTGCTTTTATAGAGCAGGTACTGCTCTCCATCACCTCCCATTCGTCATTGGCTAAGGACAGCAGAATCCAGTTGTCCTAACTGCTGAAGATGCATAGCAATAAGAGAGAAATTGTAATTAAGATGGAGGATGGTAAGTACTTTCTCTTTTGTGCTTGGGATTTTATATATATATATATATATATATATATATATATATAAAATTTAAATACAAAACCTGTTCATTTAAATATATAGGTATTAATGGGCATGCTTTTTCGACTGCCTCAACAGAGTTAAGGTTCGTAATTAAGTTAAGGGTAAACAAAGGATAAATTTCAGTATTCAGCCTCCAAACCTCACTGTTACCTTTAGGGAAGAATATTTAAGTAACAATGTTTCATAATTAATACAATATGAAAGACTCAGTGTTGATGTTTCCTTCTGGTTCAGTTGGAGTGAAAATGAATGGACTTCTGCATGAGGAACAGGAAGGTAGGTGTGGAGGGTTAGGGTTTGTCTTCTGTTAGAATAGTGCGCTGTGATATGATATCCAGTTCATCTCTATTGTTGGTATTATAAATAAATGTAATTGAAATCAGAGATGATGTATTATTTAATTCAACGCAGGAAATACATGACAGGAAAGCAAAGAAAGAAAGAATTTATAGATGTATATGTTTACACATTTGGCCGTAAAAGAAAAGGAATCATAATTAATTTTATATTTTATGTGTAATTTTAAATAATATCATTATTGTTACATTTGAAAAATGTTAAAAGAAGCTTTGTCAATTTTTTATCACCTGGATATTATGTGTGTTTGTATAGTGGGAGTTGCTGATGTGCTTATATGCATTTGAATGCAAGGCTGTGGGATTGGTGTGTGTGGCAGGTATCTGTCCTTCTGTGTGTGTGTGTGTGTGTGTGGATTAAGTTTATATCAGGGCTTGTCCTTTGAAAAATGCAGGCGCACACAAATTTGTGCACCTAAAAAGTGCTAGGTGCACAATTTTTTTTGTGCACCCTAAAAGTGCTAGGTGCACAATTTTACCTTTTTTGTGCGCCTAAAATGTGGTTGGACTTTGGTGCAATGGGTCAAAATGTACTTGTATTTGTACATATTTCTGTTTTTTGTAGTCCTAGTGTTAGTTGAGAATTTTGTCCTAGTTTTAATGCTTTAACATACACTCACCTAAAGG